TCTCTTTTTCACTTCCTGGTCTTTCGCTTGGTACATCCGCTGTCCGTTTTCCCTAACTCGTTCCGAGCGGCAGTTCAAAATGCTCTGTTTTAGCTTCCGCCGTTCTTCGATACAGTTCCAGGTGGAGAGGCTCAACCAGTCCTTCCGGGACCTTGCTCTTTGTCCAGGTGTTTCAGTCGCCGTCGTGCGATAGATGTCTGTGTACCCTGTCCATGCATCATCCACACTTTGTTGATCATTGTTCAGAGCCTCAAAACGATTCTTCAGGACTATGCTGAAGCTCCGCTTGTGCAAAGGATTTTTTAGCTTTGCAGCGTCATAGATGGTCCCTGACATTTGTTTCTTTCTGTTCCTTGCCAGCTTCAGGCGTATCTTGCATCGGACAAGGTGATGGTCACTTGCTGCGTCTGCTCCTCGCTGTGTTCTGACATCCAGTAGCGATCTCCTGAATCTTTTTCGGATCGCCACATGATCGATCTGATTTCTGTCATGGCGATTTGGTGATGTCCACGTATACTTGTCGATGTCTTTGTACTTAAAACAAGTGTTTCCAATGACAAGACTGTTCTCAACGCAAATCTTAGGCCATTATCATTCATAGTGCCCAGTCCTTCGTTACCCGTGCTGCCTTCCCAGCCAGTGTTGTCAGATCCCACCTTGGCATTTGCATCTCCTAGCACGATCAGTAGGCCATGGAGAGGCGTGGCATCGATCTCCTTTTGGAGCAACTCATAGAATGTATCCTTGTCCTCATCGCTAGCGTCAATCGTGGGGCTGAATTACTGTCATCTTCTTTACTCAAAATTATAGCTTTCGCGAAAAAAATATTCCTTGAAATCGGTAATTATAGTTGCAAGTAGACCTATTTGAAGGGAACTTCTGAGTGAGTCCCTGTAGGTTGGTCTGCAAAATACATATCTTGATTCCTCACTAGTAGGGGAAAATGTTACTTTGAAGAGTCGATTTTTTGGCCATTGATAGCGGATTTAAAGTTAGTATCCCACGTTTATAACAGAATGCACTCCTGATTTTTATTTTTTAAAAAACCTTTTCTGCATCAGTGTTACAATTAAAGTGCATCGCTCTTAGCCAATCAGAATCAATATTTTCATATATGTTATTCGTAAGTAATTAGCATGCTCCCATTAGTGGTTTCTAGCATATAGGTCCAGTACGTAGTCAAGGATGAGATATAGGCCTGTTCCCATAAGAGATCCAAGACAAGAATAATTCAGATTCTACTACTACTGAGTTCATTCCACTGATATTAGATCAGTTCTTTTATCACAGCAAAATAAGCAGGTTCCATCCATCGATCAAACTTTGATTAATACGTTACTTTACATTGAATCCGATCTGAATTGAAATCATTACTGTAATTAAGATAAAACGATTTAAAAGATTGAAGTAACTCCAGTTTACATCGGGAACCGACAACACTAGACACGCGCAAAGAAACTGTAGAAAGCAATCTGGCAAAATTGTCGGCATCCACGCGTAATGGTGTCATCTGCTCTTGTCAGCAATAAAAAAAATTGACTAATGAGTGCGCACGAAATTTAAGAGTTATGCAATTTGCAACCTCATTTTACATCTTGGTGGAAACGCGGCGTGGAAAGGTTGCATTCTTGGGCAAGACACTTTACTCTCACAGTGCCTCCCTCCACCCAGATGTGTGAGAACAAGCGAATTTAATGGTGGGGTGTAAACCCGCGATGGAATATCATCCCATCATCTCATCATCATCTCATCATCTCATCATCATCCCCCTGTCTATAGAAGACAATGCTGGAACGAGGGGAAGGGGAGCTAGTTTTGTTTATACTACAAGTAAAGTGCTATTATTAGCTGCCTGAGGAGAAAGAGGTGCGTCAAATGGATATAACGGTNTAGATGGCCAAGCCAGACAGACAGAATCATCCTCACAGCCATAATAAGACCCCTGACTTTTGAGATGGTTTCACCATTATCAATTCCACTTGCAAATAGTTAATTGTAATTATAATAATATTGATTCAGCAGCAAAGGGCACAATGGGCATGAGAGATAAGGTACCACCAAAGCTGCCAAGGTGAGGGTTCTACACAAGTTTTATTGTGATCATTCTCTTCGTTTAATTTTCATTTGGATGTATTTTTCGTTGTTCAGCGGTTTGGGTACTTAATTTTATTTCTATTTTTCTGGTGGGTTGGTGGAGGCAGAACTAGTCAGTTTATTTTTTTAATTTTTTTTTTTTAATGTGACACCCACCTCACCCCACCCACCTGCTCATCTGGAGCATTGTTTAGCTATGCTGCTGGGTAGATCTGGTCCCAATCCCTGTAGGGCGGGGGGGGGGGGGGGGGGGGGGGGAGAAATACTCCTAGTCGCTTCATGCTACAGAACTAAGATAAGGGCTGGACTGATGGGCCACTTCGTTTGAAGATTTTAATCCTTTTACCTTTTTACATGTAGTTGCTTTGACATTTACAGCAAGTGGGAACAGTGGAACATTTGGTTCTGTTGTGGCATTCAACTTTGCTGAAAGCACTACCTATCCAATCAAAGCTTGGGGCGCCTGAGAAGGAACACACTCACACAGCGATGGAAACAATCCGGGAACTTACTAATGAGGCAAGGGTGCGTGTATTGAAGGCAAGTTCAGACTGAATAAAGTGACAGTGCTGAATATTGTGGTGGGACACAAGGGAGGAAACTCAGTGAAGGTGAAAGGAGGACAAGGCATTAGGACGACNGGGGGAGGGGAGGAGGGGTGAGGATCATTGTATTGTATTTTGAATCGTGTACTTACAAGATTATTTGCTCTTAATCTTTAACCTAACTTCCAGGGGAAGGTACAATTTTTCTACTAGTTGTTCCATTCAGTAAGAAACTAGGGTTTATTTTAAGCACTTGAATTATCTTGTTATTACCTAACCTGTCTGTCCCTGCCTTTTCTCTCTTCCTGGTCATGGATCTGCTGTTATTTATTTACTTATGTGTTTGTTTGCATTGTGCACGCCAGCATGGGTGACAACCTTCTGTTGATGGATTCCCCAGCGCCCCGTGCGAGGTCCTCAGTGTTACCTGGACACCATATTAACAGGGAACATGCATTGTTAGAACAGGCTGACAGTCCGTGTGGAGTAGACAGATTATTGAATTTCTCTCCTAGAGTGAACGAGGTAAGTATTTCGTCATTTCGTCATTCGTCATAGATGACTGCCTTGGGGAATAGTTGGAATGCTCAGTCAAGCGTTAAGTACATTGTACTTCGTAGTTGTAAGCCCAGCCGTTCTGTTACAGTAGTTTGTCACGTAATCGTCTCTTTAGGGGGAGGAAAAATGCGTGACACCACAAAAAGACCGCTTTGTTGTTTTCCTCCCTCCCACCCCGGTGATACTTTAAATGACTTTAATTTTGCGGGATTTTCATTAATTTTATGTATAAAGATTCGTCGGCTCATTGATAAAATAAACCTAACACGAAAGAGAGAAAAATTCCGACATCACAAGTTAATTTTATTATGACTCGTAGCTTTTTCAAATATTCCTGTCAAGTGTTTCAGTTTCTTTCCGTTAAAGATCCCATATTTAAAAAAAACCTTTCATTCGATCCACCACGAATTTTTAATAATTTCTTACCCCGAGACTTATTAAAATTGCCATTAATTACTCGTAAGTTGATGAACGCTTCAGTTTTTATCACCGACTTTTGCATGACGATGCCCACAATTTTCTAGCTTTATTTGGAATGTTAATGGTATGTAAATTTTTCATTTTTATCAGCATTTTCCTTCAGACTCTAGCGGAAGCCCAAGCTATTTTTAAAGAATATCCCCTGCTGTGTCAAGTCGAAAACATTTGTGTGTAATATATTTTTTTTTTCAGGGGGCCAAAACCGGCGTTGAAAAAGAAGATATTGTTGTGGAACAATCTGACAACGTTGTGGAAACACAGCCTGCGCAAGAAATCAGCAACATTGAGGTGAAAGAGGAGGAACCGCCACGGGGGAAGGTAAAAACTAAATACTTGCATCGTCGATGTATAATTTTTTGTTTTCAAAAATGTTGTGTTTTAAAGTGTTTTATCGGCATTACACTCGATTGAAATGGAGTATTTGCGAAAGAAATATTTCACCTTTTCTGCCGACATGTGCCTGGAACAATCATGTAAACATAAAAAGGTTGCGAAATGATTTTTTGGCTTGGCAACAGAAATTTAAAATCAGATCCGGCTGAATTTATAGGATCACTGTGGTCTAACGTACAATTATACTGCAAGTAATTGTTCGGTAATTTCTTCAAGTAAGTTGTTCTTTGTGCTATTCGCCCTCTGAAACTGCAAACGCGAAGTATTTCATACTGGTGCTACACGTATTTTGCAAAGTAGTAGTCTTAATTCTCCTTCTGACTTTGTCGTTTGGTCAGATTTTCTGGGTAGCTTAAGCATTCATGGGCACCCGCAGCTCGCTTTAAAATTCCAGATTCCATTCAGATTATAATTCGGGCTGAATCTTTGTATTGCTTTCATTCTTGTGTGAGTCAATATGAATGATAATTTCATCGATGGACAGATTTCAAAGGGTTTCTACTTATGCCCGCATACATGTATGACTGATAACATGTTTCCGATTTTCTCAGATACATTCTTACTGTACTTTCGCTCTACATTTTTTTTATAGTAGGGCGTCTTTGGAGTAAATATGCGAGCAAAACTAATAACTATACAAAATTGAACCTTATAACAAAGTGTTTTGTAATCGTCTCAGACGGTGATTTTACATGCAAAATTCTTTACTTCTGGGGGTGGAATTTCAAATCAGTTTTGCTATTATTTGCCTTTGAAATCAGGTCAAAACTAAGATTTGTTGGCGGCATGAATTTAAATCTATCCCTGACTTCTGATCAAATATATTTATAAGCCTTGAGTTAGTGTAGAAAGAATTTCGTTTTCATGTTCAAAGTTTTGGAATATGAAATCCCACAATTACGACTTGTTTTGCTCAAATGTTGCGAGGAAGCCATTTTAGCGATTGTTTAAAAAATTTAAGTGAACAGAGATTAACTTTTTTTAATTTATCGTATAGAATAAATTCGCAATTTAACACGAAAGTGGTATAAATCTTTTCGTAATAAATGATTTTTTCGTGCGAACCTTTGTTTTGACTTGCTTGTTGTCAAACGAACAGATGGCTTGCGGATTCATCCCTTAGTGATTTTGTGGTCATTTAATATTAATGATCTGTAAGCGATGTGACTGGTATTTTGGCGTGCATTTTAAAAACATAAACATCGGATCACTACCCGTATAAGGGTACTTACCGGGATAATGCTGGCTTTTCATTGGTCAGTATGCTGAGTGACCTGTCATGTCAGATTGCAGATGTGGTAATGGCTTTATTTGGAATCCATTAGCGCGCGAAAACCGTTCGTGAAAAAACCACCGGTGGATAGCGGTTTTCAAATCGCGCTATAAACACAAGTAGCGGTATTGCCAAGATTTGAAGCAACGGAACTTTAAATGCCATTTGAAGAGGTCAATGAGCCATGAAGATTTGTGGATGTCGTTTTTTAAAAGGCTCGCAATTTTCTGGCGCGGTGAAATGGCTTCGCCGACTTCGCTCTGGGTGTTGCGGCTTTTTCCATTGTTGATTACGTGATCAGTGGCCCGATCAAAGAGCACAGAACAAAGATCATGTATTTGTGGAGTTTTATCAGGGCATTCGGTTGTTTGGGGAACTCGGACCATAAAAAAGCCGTGAAAAAAGAGGTTAGCGCAACGTTCTTTTGAGTTTTTGTCGTCTGCAATTTTCTGTGAATGTCTCTCTCACTATCTATGAATCTATGAAGTGTTTTTGAAACAGTGTTCGCCGTGCGGAGAACTTTTGTTAGCTTTCTTGTAAAGTTTATTTTCTTTACGCATTACCTTGCTTCACCTAGCTCGGGATTTGTAAAATGCGCTACTTTTCGGTTTAACTAACTTATCCCCATGCGTTTTGTTCATCTCCATGCCATCATCTCCTGTGTCCAAGCTCAAAATGGTAAATCTCATTGGTGTTTTCCATACATTTAAGTTCTGCGAGTTTTGCGATACATCAAGGCAATAACCCTCAGTTGATGAATTTCTTTATTCTTATTACCTGTCTGCTGGAAACTATTTTTGAATTGCAAGGAGAAAATAGACCGTTGATCAAAGCGTTAACAGCACTATTATTGGAATGACAGCGACCATCTTCAGAATCACATGATTAATATTTCAGCCAAAGGCAACAGTTATGCATAACATTTCAACTTATTATGGACTTAAAAGTGAAGTTCACTCCGGAAAACGTTTTTTTTTTTTTTGTCAACGCTAATAAAAACGTACCGAAGTTTCAGCCTCTAAAGTGCAGATTTTCCCTATAAAATTCGTCTCCAAAGAAGCCCAAAATTCGACATCGTTGCCGCCATTTTGAACAGTACTCAGCAGCCAGGCCGCGTTTTCGTGGCGTCATTCAGTCCAAGACATTTTGTCCAAAAGGCTTCCGACAACCCTTTTAACTACCACTCTGGATTACGGCTGCTCTAAAGCCGTATTATAGCGAAACATGCTCCAAACTCCGACAATGAATTCAGAAAGCAGTGAAGATAGGGAAGTGGATAATCGCTTGTCAGTTGCAGGTTTTTCTCCTTCCCGTCAATTTCATGTCGGTCGGAATTACGTCACATAAACACGGCCTGGCTGCCAAGTACAGTTCGGCGGCCTCCGAAGTCGCTTCTTTCGAGACGAATTTCTTTAGGATAGCAGGCACTTTAGTGGCTGAAACTTCGATGAGTGTAAAAGTTGAATGTTTACTTGCTATAGGCGAAGACAAAAATATAAGCTTTTTGGAGTGACCTTCTTCAACTCTGGGGGTAACCCTGCGATGGACTAGCATCCCATCCAGGGGGGAGTAGAAATACTCCTAGTCGCTTCATGCTACAGAAACCGGGATAAGCTCCGGCCTGATGGGCCACTTGGCTCGTATGCAGACTTTACCTATAGTGACTTAATTTTCGCCTTGGCCATCATTTTTAATTTCGTTCGCTTAGCGCTAACATTGTTGTTGTTTCATTTTCGCCCAATCACACGCAGAGAAGCCACGTAAACAAAATAAATCAAAAATCGCCCATTCCACAGTTAGCTCTTGACATTATAACTCTTCATCTCGTTTGACGCTTTGTTTGACGTTTAACTTGCTAGGCGCTGTTGTACAGCCAAGAGGACTTAGATGAAGCCGTCAAGAGAGAGACGGACGCGCTTCGCAAACAGGTGAGGCCTTTGGCCTTTAGCCCCGTCCACACTACGCCGGAGAAGATTGAAAACGCGGCTTTTTTTCTTCGGCTAGGCCTACCGTCCACTCTAATCCGTCACTAAAACGGAGCTTTTAGAAAACGCTCTTCAAACCGGAGGAATTTGAAAATACCGGTTTTACGTTTTAGTGTGGAAGCAAAACACTTTTAAAACTAATTTACAGGTATTCCACATAAACGAAATATAAATTTAAAAGTAAATATAATTATAACATATGGCTCGTCACGCAATCTTTGAAGCTATGCTAGTAATGTATGATTTGTATAAATTGAAGACGTGACAAAAACCTATACGTACTGTCATTTGGAAGGTTTTACACCAGGTCTTTCCATACACTTACTTTAAAACTCTTTGAAACCCCACTGCTGGCGGTAACGACCAGTTAATTCTCTTCCAGCTTGGTTTCTGCAGAAGAGTTCAACTGTTGAAGCAGTGTGTTACACCACAGTAATCACTTACGAGAGCTTTCACTTAAAGTGATCTCGGTAAAGAAGCTAATGTTTGCAACTTGCAGTTGTTGTTCAGTTACGTATGACTGTATTGATGCGGTATTTTCTTTTTCTTTTGGTCGCTAGGCGTTGTTTTATAGCAAGGAAGAGTTCGCCGCGGCTGTCAGAAAAGAGACCGAGGCCTTGCGTCAGCAGGTACGTCACACTTATCGCCAAATAAAGTAATATCAAAGAACTTCGGCTTAATTCAAGTAGGTCCCCTTGTAGCTAAGTTTAATACAGATTAAAAATCGATCGATTCTTGTCGGTAGTTCGATCTTAAGAATTGGTTCCGAGTTTGATCGCAGTAGGTGATTCTATCAGATCCAAATTCCCATTCATGTTCTGATGAACCAAAGTTCACTGGTGAGCTGGGTCACTGCGACTGGTTTCTAAATCTAGTTTCAGATGGTAGTTGAAATTTCTATTTTTGTTTGCATTTTTCAGATGAAAGAAGAGGCTACGATTCGTGACATGGAAAGTAAAGAACTCACGGAGAGAAATCAGCAGCTGAAGAGAGAAACCGGAGAATTAAGGTAGATCACCCCAGAACAGTTCAAGAATTCGTTGTCTTACCTACACTAATCTACCATATCCTACCTACCTACCTACTTATCTACCTACCAACCTATTAAGCAATATTCTCGTCCCCAGAGGCCGCGTTCCTTTTGGTCAACACCAAGAATCGCGACCTTTGGCCGGACCCGATTTTCTGAGCGTACGCAGAGTACTCGTTTCGTATTCACAGCCAATTATCAGATTTGTCAGATTTGACGGGAAGTCCGTGAATCGCGGAATTCCAGTGTTGGACCGGCCCAGAGGTCGCGATTCTTGGTGCTGACCAATAGGAGCGCAACCCTAGGGACGAAAATGATTAAGTAAGAGTTAAAGGTCATTTGAGACGCTGCTGAGCATGTGTGGGGATTTGATTTCTTATCCGACGGACGTTTCGAAAGAAAAAAAGAAAAAAGAAGAAGAAAATGAAGAAAAGATAGGAGGACGAACGTCGGAATCTTCAAAGAGCTGCAGATGTGCATGCAAGTTGGAAGTAGAGTATCTGTTCTTGTATTCAACGGACACGGCCTTCACACAACATAACCATGATAAATATTCTTTACAAACAAAAGGTCAAAAGCTGGCGGATAAAGAGATTTTCGAAAGGCACGTGAGACTCCAAGCTGACCCGCGGCGACTTCATGGCGCCTGCTATAGTATTAAGATTTGTATTGGTTAAAAATTGTGTCAATCAAGTCCGCACATGCGCTTTATCGTGACAATGGCCCTTTAAGTTGGATTTTGTAATATCCACATTTTGAGTTTTTGACACTTAGATATTTAAAACACTCCTTATGAACTGTTGCCCATTTTCGGCAGGGTCGTGATGCAAGAATACGAGAAGACCATCGCAGACATGATAGGTAACTAACTCTTAACGTTGGCACACACGAAGGGACTAATCCCTGCCACTAGTCCCTTCAACTAGTCCCCTGAAGAGTGTAGACTAAGGGACTGGTCGCAGGGACGAAATGTTAGTCCCTGCGACTAGACTTTGTGGCAAAAATAGCTTGTCCCCGCGACTTGTTGCAGTGACTAGTTCCCTCGTGTGTGTCGACCTTTATGACTCAAACGGCCCCCTGATACTCACCCAAAGCCAACTGCGAGTTTTCCTAACGTTTCAGTCAATCAAAGATCTCCATGCACCTTCATATACAATAGGCAGCTACGAAATATAAAAAATTGTAGCTTGTTTCCGAAACTCTTACATATAACACAAAAGAAAATAGTTTAAAATAGCTGGCTACTGGTTTTTCCATTCTGCGGCACTGTTGTTCGCTATGGAGCGTTTACTTATTAAAAGCTATTCTTAAATTTCTCTTGACAGAAAAGAATCAGAAGTCTCAGGATCAATATAACCATTCGACTTCAGAAGTAGCGAAAGAAAGAGACCAGGTAATGTTGTGTCAGATAATGTGAGCTGGCACAAAGAAACAAACCAACTGTATTAGATTAAGAGAACAAGCAGACTGTGAGCCCGTATTGCACTTTATTAAAACTGGATCATTGCATAATACAGTTCGATAGTTTTCATTGGCTTTGCCATCATGGGTTATGAGCCATTATACCATGTTCTACAGTTATGGTAAGCTTTCGCGTGATTTTGTGGGGCGTCCTTATTTTTATTTTAGTTTAGTTTGCTATGTTTTGGGGGCGTTTTTGATAAAACAAGTATTCCACTCGCGCTTGTTGGATATGAGGATTATAGCCAACTTGGTGCTACGCGCCTCGTTGGCTATTTACCATCTCATATCCAACGTGCGCTTGTGTAATGTTTGTCGTATTTTGTTTTCGTCATTCGCACGCGCCTTCAACTCGCGGAATATCAGCGCGTCTTATACGTGAAACCGTCGAATGCGGTGTATTTAAGGCTTATTTTCCTTTTGTCCTTTACAGTTGCAAGCTGACTTGACAGCCGTAGAGACGGCCTTCTCAGACCTTCACAGAAGATACGAGAAACTCAAAGGAGTGGTGGAGAACTTTAAAAAGGTAATGCGTGCTTCCTGTTAGTGAATTACTGTCAAGTTCCTTTTAAGAATAACATATTTCTTAGTTGTTTTTTTTTGTACTCCTCGAAAGCGAATAGGATAAAAGCGGGTTTTTATCGTTGAAAATTGGTCACACCCTTTAACTGTAAGCTAAGAAGTGACTCGGTTTTTAACAGATAGCTGTGATCTGATATCTACCCAATTTATTGTGAGTGGTGAAATTGACTGACATTTTAACCAATAGCTTTGAAATCGCCGAAAATTTAACTTAAGAAGGAATCCACCAGAAGGTCGAGTAACAAGTGGACAAACACTTTGTACGGCGATTATTTGCGTCATATTGAAACTTCTGTGTAACTATTTTAAACATCTTCTCAAAGGAAATCATTTCTAACAACACCAGATGTCGAAAACAAAGTTCATTTTGAAGTTCATATGAAACACTTGAAAGTATTGGTGAAATGACACTGATGATGAAATTTTACCTGAGTTTGCACAGCTTCTCTGAACTTTAAAATATTTTTTCTCCAGTTCCTATGGGAAATTGTTTTTGGTGTTATTTCAGGCAATTATTTTTAGCTTCAGCCTTAGAAAATGCAAAAAGGATTTTAATATACCTAACATTCCGGTACAAGATTTTTGTCCCCTAAAATTGAAATTGCTCGATTTCCTATGGGATTCGTCTTATTTCCTAGACCCTCGTAGAAATTACTGTTTGTTAGTAAATCCTTGAAATAGCGAAAAGAAAAGAAATCACAGGAATCTTTTGCGTCATATACGCGGCTTTTGTTTAATGTAGATTTTTTTTTATTGTTTCATATACGATATTGAAATGCACTTCTCTCCTTTGTTATTGCAGAACGAAGAAATATTGAAAAAGGCAACAACTGACTACCAGGAAAAATTAAAAAAATCCGAAGAAAAGTATCGCTTGTTAAAGAAACACGCTGAAGAAAAAATCGAGAGGTTTGTATTGACTTGTTTTTGCTGAGAACAGGCATATATTTACACTAGAATCTTTGCCTAAAAGATCAATGACGGTGAAAGACGTCTACATTGGCAAATGAGGTTTGTTCTCCCATGGCTATTGTTTGGGAAGACAGACATGGCCGCCATTACCGAAAATGCTATGTGCAAAATCTACTAAAAATAGAAACGGTCATGAACAAGAGAAATTCATGTCAACTTTTTCGGCTTACGTCCTCTACAAACTTTTCCACGTTAAGAAAAAAGCATTTTATGTTTTTATTATGCAAGGGGCGGCCCGGAAACAAAACGCTCTTAGAGCTATTTTGCTTTTGTTTGGTGATGTTGTCGCTGCGGCTCTGCGTACTAATTTTTTTTCATTTGTTTATTTTATTTTAATTTTTTTTTAGTGCAAATATCGAGATTACTCGAGTACGGAAATCCAACGAGTCTGAGATAGCTGTAATGAGAGCTGCTCTCAAGAAAGAACAAACCAAGTCAGCCAGTTTAGAGATGAGTCTACAGCAGAAGGTATGATGACAGCAATTTCACGCATTTTTGTAATTTCTGCCCAAGGCCCTGTCCACACTTCGCCGGAGAATTTTAAAAACGCAACAATCACCGTTCATTAAACGATTTTGAATTTGTGGTTGCGGAAAACTTGGGAGGGGAAATCACGTTACAGGGCTGCAAATAACAGTCGGTCATCGGACATTCGCTGACCAAAATTTGCCCATGTCCGACGAAATTCCAACTGTGGTGGGGCATGATGTCCGGGCAATCTTTTTATCGTAAATTATTTTACGGTAAGGATGAATAAAAATCTGCCTTGAGTAAATCTTACTCCTTTTGGTGATGTCCGACAACTATTTGTTTTGTCTGACGAAGATGGTGTCTTAGTAGGACATATGTCCTTTCAAGAGAAAAAAAATAAATATTAGCAGCCCTTCATTATTATCATGATCTAACCGTTTACGGAAAGCACCGTTTTCAAAATGTTTTCTGTCCAAGCGAAAACGCAAAGCCGACTTTTTCAAATTCCTCCGGTTTGAAGAGCGTTTTCGAAAAGCTCTGTTTTCGTGACGGATTAGTGTGGACGGTAGGCCTAACCGTCGAAATAGTTTTACGTTTTCAAATTTCTCTGGCGTAGTGTAGAGGAGGCCCGAAATTGCCTCGTGTCGACGCTGAATTTTATCATGATGCAAATGAGAAAAATTAAGCGTAAAAAAGAGCTATTAACAGGCCACAGGACTGATTATGATAGATATTTTCTTTCCTGCTTTTTCTTTACAGGTATCCGAAAATGCAGAACTTACAGCAATATGCGACGAATTGATCAACAAAATGGGAGGACAACGGTCGTAGCATCACAAACGAGTGGTTTATTACTCCTGGTCTCCTCATCTCCCCCCGGATCACCTTAACTTCCACACGGCGAGTTGTGAAGACGTATTATGGGGCAGTTGTGTTTCCGGGGGAGGCTGTGCTGACGACAGACAGGACACTGTATATACGATGCGAAGGTGGTACACTCGCCAACATGAGAGTTCCTATAGTTGCCAACTTTTGTACATTAAGGAAGAAATTACTGAGAGTTAGTCCTGATTAATCGTTTATAGTAGAGATATTTAAGACCGGTTTAGCTCTAAAAATCATTCATAATGTGCGCGAGTACTTATAGTACAATACAATAACTATTTAAGTTCAGGTGGGCTTTATCTCAATAGCTCTGCGTGGAACGAGCTAAACCTCGGGCAAAGGACAAAATAATTCGCCGCAATTGCGGTTCGCCTTCTATCTAAATCTCGCCCATTTTTTTCCATCCTTGATTCTTTTAAGTTTGTTATCGCCACTCTGGTGTGTTTTTTTTGTTGCTTAGTTCGTAGGCCTCTATATTTCGCCTTGGTCTCCGAGATCAATTGACCGTGAAGGCCTCAGAGAAAGCCGTATAGGAACTAGGCAATAGGTCACCGTCGAGACATTAAAATTCAGCTTGATAGTAAGGCCTGGAGGACACAAACAAAAGAAATGGATAAACATGTCATTCAATTCCCTTTCTTTGTGTCCTCTAAGCCTCACTGCCAAGCAGAATGTCGAAAACATTCTGTTCTGCCTCTGTAAAATACTTCTCTGAGAGTTCTTTTATTAATTTAGAGATATCCTTTTGCTTAGGAAAGAAAGTCTGGGTACCACAACAAAGCTAATGTATTGGCTTAGTGAAAGGCTGTGCGCTCTTTTTGGCCATAAAGTCATTTTAATGACTGTGATCGATGATGATGATAAATACAACTCAGAAAATATTTGACAGTTGGTTGTCGTAACAAGCGAACCTGCAAGTGAATCCTGCAATATAGGCAAAGCACTTTCCGTGTCTTTGTTGGTTCGCAGCATTCTTACCAAAGGTTATTCGTGAAAAGTCTAAACTGAAGAAAGTTGACTTGTAGTTATTTCCCAGCATTTTCCCTTCTCAGTATTTAAGGTTATCCCGGCATTTTGTATAATGTATTCAGGGCTTGAAAAAAGTGCCGGTTGCCCCGGACAAGCAGATTGTCCTGCCAGGGAAGTAACTTTTCATTCTTCCTTCCCCAATGAGCAAGGAATCAGGCAAGTCATCTGCAAACTTGGGCAAGCAAAATTTGAGAGCTGCTTGTCCAAAGTCAAGCTGGAATTTAATTTTTTTTCAAGCCCTGGATAAACTATTTGAGGGCATTGTTATCTCGACTCGCTTTTCAAACATTGTTACATCTCATAGTATTTTTCCGCCGTGGTTTGTTGAGAGGATATCAAACGAACTGTTGTTGGTAACTTGTAGTTGATGTATCGACTTAAACAATTGAAAAATCATATTAATTTTATTGGAGGTAAGCAAACTCTTAAATCATTGATCCAGTAGTTAGGGAGGTTTAAAAACACTAAGCGCTGTTACTTTAAAGAATCGGTTAAGCCTAGCCTAGCCTTTTCCTACCCCGAATTTTTAATGGCCGTCGTTGGTCGTTCAACCGTCTGAAGTTTGTATGTGTAGAGACAGAAATTTGGCCTGATAATGTAAAGTTCTCACATTACGTTTCAGAAAGGAAACAACGCAATGTCCTAGAAGGTGGAAAATGTATCAATATGTTCCTTTTCTATTTTTCTAGGTTGTTTAATAATAAACAGTGGTTTAATAAATCGCAATTGTGTTTGATTAGTTGCCTTGAGTCGGATAGTCGCAGCCCTAGTGAGAAGCCTGTAGCGATACGATCTAGGCATGCAGTCGTAAGCAGAGTTTCCAATTTGCGCTTATGACTACAGTCGAACCTCTGGTTGGGAGCCCCTCTCAGCCACCAGTTTTTTAAAATACGATAAGTTCCCCAGTCAAATCACTATATTTCGAACCTCTTGTCAGCAACCACCACTCGTAAGCGACCGTGACCACTTTTAGAACTAAAAGTTTGAAATTTTCTTTTGTTTTTAAACTCCCGTAAGCGACCATTCGACAGATAATGGAGCGAACATTGAATAAAAAGGTGTTGCAACATCACATTCCTACGTTGTATAAGAGACGGAAATTTCTCAACGGGAAGTGCTGGATTTTTTTCTGGAAATTGACTTTTCAACATGAAATAAAACATTTAAAACATGGGGTAGGGCTCCGCAGTTACCATATGCTAATGAGGCAAAATTTTGAGCCAATATGGCCTAAGCTCTCGAAAGCGACCACCTCCCGTAAACGACCAGCTAGGTTTGACCTTTTGGGTGGTCGCCTACAGGGGGTTTGACTGTATCCATCTGATATTGTGAAAACTAGATTGTCGGAGTCGAAGGCAGAAGCAAAAAATAGGCCAATCACAGGGCTCGATTCCAGCTGGGGCCCGTCTCTCGAAGGTCCCGAAAAGTTTTCGCACCCGGAGAGCCGTAGCAAAATCTCAAACTTTATGATTACAGAGCTGTTTTATTCACATACTCTTAATATGAACAGAGGTTTCCTTCATACCAGGGGTTTTAGGCGTATACAACTCTCTGTTTTTAGATACAACTAAAAATGGCTTCACAGGCCCGGAAAGTTTCCGGGGCTTTCGAGAAACGGGCTCCTGGGCCCTGCGAAAAAGACATTTTTAGTTAATCGGTATTTAGAGACAGAGAGAAAGCATCACCGAACCTCCAGGTTCGGGATTGTTTCCTCATTCATAAGCCTAAACGTTTCGTTTACATATTCCGATGCGAGTGCTACTGGGTGTGGTTCAGTTATCACCCTTAATGAGGATCATATCTGTCATGGACTTTAGGAACCATCCGAATGCTCCAAAAGTTCTACTTGGAGAGGGCTTGCCGCCGTTGATTTTCTCTCGAATCGTTCGCCCCAGTACTGTAGGGTTCCCTTGTCAAGTTGTTCACGGATAGTCAGTCGGCTGCAAAAATCGTCCAATTGGGAAGCATGAAGCTGCACAGACTAACTGTTTAAAACTGTCTAGACTAAATTTTCCAGTTTTGCGCTGTGCATAATATTAGTTTGGAGGTCCAGTGGATCCCGCGAACGGAAAACGAGAGCAGATTATATCATTCGTCTTATTGACTTTCATGATTGGCAGATTACTCCGGAATTTTTTTTTTCTCCGTTTAGAAGTCGGAGTTATGGGTTCGCACACAGTTGACTGTTCGAATAATTTTTATACAGCAAAGCTTCAAACATTATTTTCTTGTTTTTGGAACCTGGTGACAACAGGGGTCGACTTTTTTGCTCAAAATCTAGAGTCTGAGAACTGTTTTGTGGTTCCTTCGGTACCTCTTGTTACTCGCTCCCTCCATTATGTGAGTCTCCAGAAGGCGAGGGCTACCATCGTGATACCACTATGGCCTTCGTCCAGTTCCTGGCCTCTACTGACAAGTAAATATAAGCAGTTTATGAAAAGTTGTTTCTTACAGAATGGAATCGAAGCTGTCACTTTAGGAAGGAATTTGAATTCGTTCCTGGGATCTGTACATTGTACAGGCAACGTTGTCGCCCTTAGACTGGAATTTTTGTAAAGAAAGTCTTGCGTGTTTGGTTATTTGAAAGCTAACTTAAAAGTGTTACTGCAGTGCGATTTTCAAAAGTCGTATCTCAATGGTCACGAGGAGGATGGATGGATGTGTTTAGAAAAATGACACTGGTCATATGCAGCGGCGATTGCTTGGTGAGCTGAAGCACTTGGATGTTCTAAAGGGGATTTATCCCTCAAATATTGCACGAAACCTTATGAAGGGCAGCTGTGTCCGTCCGTTTTATGTTCAGGAGCTGAATTTTAGCAGTCCACGTAGTCTAACACTGTGTATTAGACTACGTGGCCGAGATATTAGAGCGTAATTATTGTCCTGTGGCGGTATTGCGTATGTATATCTAAGCAGCCGGCATAGACCAATCTAGTCAGTTACCCTTGTTCAGGCCTGTAAAGAAGAAGTTCTGTTGTTAATTAGTACCGACCTCTCGCATAGTGTTTCCGGGAGGTTGTTAAGGCTTCAAGTGCGCTGGAAAAGTGACGAGGCTAAGGACTTGTACGCATTAGAACCACAGTGTAGCCATTTCCAAGAAACAAGATATCTGAGAATTTAGCATAAAGTGCATTATATTCAGTTCTCTTGAAATCTATCTCAAGAAAAGGTTATAAGAGTGTTAGGGTCCGCATGCGATCCACCCATGCTTCGTTGTACCTGTTTTTGCGGACATTCAAGTGGTAAATAGTTTACGTTCGTTTGAAGGTATAGTGTAGTGAATTAGAACGTAACATTTTTTTTTCTCTGTTTTGCTGCATTGCTCGTTCTCGGCAGAATAACTAGTCAAATCTTACCGACGTATGGCCCGGTTCCAGTACGTCTGTTTTCTTTACCCTGTTAACTTGGCAATTTTTTCCTTTCTTTTTCAGAACAAGGGTTATTCCTGAAAAGGAAGGTCAGTTGACTCTTGAAGCGTTGTTTTTCTATGTGTTGAATGCCTTTGCTGTAACCCTTTTTTCTCTGTATGCCAATTTGTGAGCTACCTAACGAGTAAAGTCGATAAAGCTTGCTTAGGAGACCTGTTTGCTCTAGATGCTTTTTTTTTTAGAGAGGTTGAAAAATCATTTGAGGTTTATTTGGTACTCTTCAAGCTTATCACCTAAATTTCACTTGTTAGCTGCAGTGTCAGTTTATAAATCATGTCCACGGGTGGGTCCAGGGGTGGTATTAAAAGTGTGAGTGATTGACAGAAGCCTCCTGTTCAGGCTTCTCACTCAATCAACAAACGCCTCATTAGGACATAAAATGGAGTACTCAAACAAAACTGTGTCTACTGAGCACTACTACCTTTAAAAACTTAACAGTTGGAACCACAGGTATCCCAAACTCACGATTCGAGGAATCGATCAAATATTAATGATTTATGTCGGCGTATCGAGTGAGACGTGACTGCCCGTGCGCGGTGTTGTGTTACACATTGGGCCGTTGAGAACTTGAGCGCTCTAGTACAAGGCATTGTATGGAATTTAAAATAACGAAGCATAAAATCGCGCAATGAAATAAAATGTTACTTTTTTTGAATAAAATTAATAAAATATACTCACCTTGCCTGGTTTCTGTTGTCCATTTGGCCTATTTCGTCGTTTTGGGGGGGTTTTCAGGTGCTTGTCGCAGCTTTCTATCGTAGTCACGTCTCACTCTATACGCGTTAATATTTGATCGATTCCTCGAATCGTGACTTACTCAGGTTTCAAAAGGTCGGTTTCAAACATGCATGCTCAATTTCTGTTGTTCAGAAGTTCTGTTCCTTAAAACTCAAACAAATAATCAAATACAAGTTTTCCTTTTTCCGTTTCCTCGGTAGCATTAGCCCTTTCTTACTATCCAGACCTATTTTCAGTCTAAACTACTCACTCTGTGATCATGAGCAGATTCGCAAAACGTCTAACAGGAATCGAACGAGGGATGGAAGGATCGAGCTGATCTCCCATCTATACCTCAGTACAACTTGGATTTTCCAAGTTAAAAATGACCCCTTAGGGAATATTTCGTAATTGACAAAAATTACCTCTGAACAAGCTTGAGCTAGAATAAAATCAAGCACAACAAAACTGTATTTTAAGTACTTGCAGATAATGAATTACAGTACGTAGCTAAAGTTTGAAGACCATTCACAATGTATTCCATCTGCAGTCTAGTGAATTAGTTATAATGATTGATTATAAATACAGCAAGGTTCTGAAGGTGATAAAAATTTCCTACCTTGACTGACTTTTGTGGGTGAAATTTCCTTTTTTTGTGGTTAACAGTGTTGCTAAAATCGGCTTTGCTGACCGATGTCTACTTTTAAAATAAGTCGACCACAGTTCTGGCTATTAAGTTCACTAATGTCTCACTATTTACAGGAGTATTGGTTACGTCTTAGAGAGTCGTCGATTAAGCCTGACGTTGCATGATTGTAGTTTAATTCTGTGACTCTACAGGCGGTCCCGAGTCTTCGGTGATCTCCAGCTTCGAGCTGAAAAAATTCTTCTCCTTGCCAAACCCCTGTTGATACTGCGCAACACATATCTCCGAGTCGGGCGCGATTTGCAGTTTAACGGTTTCAGATTTCTCGGTGATTTCATTCCATTCTTGCTCGAAGGTAACGTTTATTCCACCATACTTGCGCTCAAGGCTAAACTGATATTTGCTGATGGCCTCAGACAAAACACCAGCCTCGTAGTCTGCTAACTCGACGGACCAGTTGCGTTCTATGGCCGAGGACAGTTTTCTTCTCTTAAAGCCAACGGTTTTTGTGACGGTTCTTTCCAAGTCGACTGGAACGTTGGTGCTGTTTGTAAAGGAGCTAATATTAATCCAGGTACCAAACGCTCTTCCTTTAGTTTGCGCTAAGCCACCAGGAACAAAGTTGATCACTGATTCGTGAAGACTGAAATTGCCCGGTTCGCAGTTTTGATGCATATTCGTGCTTCTGTGGCAATTGACACCCCATTTGCTATCTTGCTTCAAACAGAAGACATAAACAGCGTCACCCCAGATGTAAAGACCATCTTGGAACTCTTTGTGAATGGGGTATTCAACGGGGTTTTCATCAGTGTTGATGTTCGTCACACTTCGGTAAATGCCCCTGTCGGCAAATACCATGTAGAAGAAGTGACAGTTACCATATGCACAGTAGTAGGAACTTCCTCCGCGGCAGTTGGGATGAAGACTGTGCACCT